CGCCCGCAGCACCGAGCGCGGCGCAGGAGCCAGGCCCGGCGGTGCGGTGCCCTCCCTGCTGAAGGGAGGCGAGGGCCCAGACGCAGTGTTCCTTTGCGTCAGGAATGGTGCGCAGGGATGGGGGAGAAACAGAAATGGTGAGACATGACTCAGGGTTCTTGAAGCGGCTAAGACACAGCTGTGCAGAGAGAGAGAGGTGGGAGGCCAGAAGCCTGGGGAGTCTCCACGTCTCAAGCACAGGGGCCCTGCTCCAACCTTAGCTTGAAATTCTGCAGGCAAGTAAGAAATGGAGTTATAACCTACAGCTCTGCAAATATCAAACTGACGTATTCGGATGCATTCACACCAAGCATGCGACCCAGAAAAAGGAAATAAGATCCCAAAACCTTGAGCATCCAAAGAACACTCACTGCTGGGCAAGGGCCAAGGGCCTTAACCCCATGGCCTTCCTAGATGACCTTTTGGGAAAAAAGGCTGGTTGGTGGCTGGAGGGGAATGACAAGCGGCAGCCAAAGGTTCCATCTTGGAAAAGCCACCCTGAGCTCCAGGGCCTGCTGATGGGTTCACCAGGTTCCACGGGAACTCCTGCTGTCCTTCCCAAACAGGCTGGTGGTGAAGAAATGGTGCCGCCAGGGCCTCTTGAATGAAAGAGCTACCTCAAGCCCAGATGCGGTTTGTCTGAGATGGGCTTGATTTGTTCAGTAAAGCATATGACTTGGGATCTCAGAGGATGAAAGGGCCTTGGGAAGCCCTCATTGTTTCTCTTGTCCATACCAGTTCGCTTCCAGATGGGGAAAAGGCTGTCCTTCCTTCATAGAGAAGCCCAAGTCATGCTCCTGGAATCCAAGTCAGTTGATACTGCCTACTCAGATCCCTCCAATGACTTCCCATTCCAAGTCATAACCAGGCCTAAAAAATCCCTTCCACAATGGGTCCCCTTATTTCTCTCCTCCTCCCCTTCCACTTTCTCCCCTCCCTCCCTGTTCTTTGAACACACCCTACCTCAGGACCTTTGCACATGCTGTCCCCTGCACCTGGAACTCTCTTTCCCCAGATATTTATTTCCCTTTACTTTTCTCAAAAGACCATTGAATCCAAAATAGCATCTTGTCCATAGCACCTCTCCTCCCTTCTTTGCAAACCTATTTACTGTTTCATGTCCTCATTATGTGTTTATCATATATCTTCCCTAGAATGTGAGTTCCCTGAGGGCAAGAACTTTGTCTTTGTGGGCTGATTATAGGTGCTCAATATATATTTCTGGAAAGAATGAGGTCAGGATAGGCCAAGGAATTTGCTCAACATCACAGTGGGTTAATGGTTACCTTGTCCTAACCCAGACATTTTCTAGTATCTCATGCTCAAGGTAGCTCTTTGGAAATGACCTCAGGATGAAATCAGACTGGACAATGGCCGCCAAGAAAGCTGGGCACCTTTCAAGATGCAGTTTTTAGGGTCCTCCAAAAGCCCAAATGCCCCATTATTCACATTCTGGAATGATGTGAATATTTATCAAAGTAGTAAGCTCCAATAGATGTTGACAGTTAGTGCATGATGTGTGCAAACCTTTGCTCTTTCCTGACATTTCTTCTTTAATCACCTTTGAAGGCTTGGCTGGAAGCCGAGGTTTATCGTTTAGGATCTATTTACTGAAGCTCATTCTATTCATTAAGCCTGGAGATATTTTTGGAGGATTAAGTCCTGCCAACTGAATCCAGAATCAGATCTGTTTTGAGGTGTTGAAACAGGGCAATTGGTCCTTTGGGTAAAGATGGCCATGCTAAGTGATTCATGTGGCCATTTTTTTGTTCCTTTTCTTAGCAGTTATTTATTTTCTCATCTAAGTTTGAATATTATAAAGGATGTCTGAGAATTTCCATAGTGATAGTACTTTTTAAAATAGCATGATAAAAAAATAATAATTCCCAGAGTTGGAGGCAGGAAAACTGGGTTCCTGTCTTGATTGCTTTATATATAGACTCCATGACTCTCTTTGTATTCCAGGTCCTCATTTGAACAGGTAGGACTCTACTTTCTTCCTGAAGCACTGTGGCGAGGGTCAAATGAGGTAGCATGAAATAAAGTGTTTTGTAGGTGCTACAGCTCGAGTGACAAGCATGCTGCTCTTAGAAAAATATTATGAGGGAAATTGAGAATGAAAGTTCATGTTTTGGAGGGCAGCCAGGGAGGGGGCTATTGTAGAAAATACAGTGCATTGGGGCACATTAAGAAAGGGCTTAAGAGCTAAAATGGAAAATTCACAGGTATCAAGAGTCAAGTCTGAAATGACCTAGGGACTCAGGGGAAATGTGATCAGTGAAGACACTGTGATGACTGAATCATAAGGCTGAGAGTTGAAGTGACCAGACACATAGATGACATTTGATCAAACAGATAAAACAGAGTGGAAGGATAGAGGGAAGGGTAGGACTGGTGCTGGTTCCTATCTTCCTCTGTTCTTTCATTTAGGATTACAGCTGGCTCTTCATAACCCTGGGTTCTGCATCCTTGGGTTCAAGCAACCTCAGATCAAAAGTATTCCCCAAAATGCTACATTTTTGCTGACGTGTATACTGTGTAGTTAGACCTAGGATGGTTGTGTCTGTACTGAACATGTACAGACATTTCCTTCTTGTCATTATTTCCTAAACTATACAATATAGCAACTATTTACATAATGTTTACATTGATACAACACATCAGATATCAT